CACAGGCCCAACAGCGGCTTATGAATGGTTTTCCATTCAGTTGAATTGACACAGCTGGGGCAAAAAAAGTATGCTTCATACTCGTCTGTTCGTGGAGGAAGCTAGCCTGCCTCACTTCGGCTTAAATCAAGGCAGCGTTAGGCAAGAATAAGAATCGGCGCTCTGCTAATTCTTTCCTCATTTTAATCATCTCAGAATGTGAACTAGGGTCAAGGAGAGGAACCAGGTAATAAATAGGGCGAGGCCGGCATGCCGGCTACTAAGGTGAGGAGTAACTTTACTGGAACTTTTTTCTTTCTGGGAAAATCTCTTCAAAAGGCTCCTAGATTAAAGCTCCAATCTCCCTTTTTGTGTGTTGAATTCTGAATTCAGAAGCTTGCTGGTTGGAAGGAAGCACAGACAATTTTTTTTTAAGTCCCAGGAACTCAGAGACTCAAAGGTTTGAAAGTCCTGCACCCACGGTGAATTGCCGGCTGAAAGGGGCCGGAGCAGAGCCGGGCCCCGAGGTGTGGAGACCATTGTCATCAAGAGTAAGAGAATGAAATGGCTCTGTATGTAGGTCAATGACCCCCTCTCTACTGAAAGGTAAAAAAAAAATTAAGGATGACCTACAATTTACCATGTATAAAAAGATCCTAGAGAAAGTAGCTCTTTCTTGTCAAGGTGATAATGTTTATACTACGTGAAGCCAGACCTCCCCGGACTCTGACTTTGGGGGGACTGTTGAAGCTGAAAAGCGCTGGTCAAAACCTCAAGCCCTTTCTGACATCTATTAACTTTTTATTCTTCAAAGTAGTTGGCTGTATCGTTGGAGGCGTGGCCCATGGAATCGGGCAGCATTTTCATTCTAATCAGTGAGATGGAAGGATTCGGCTGTGCATAGTTCTGCCTGAACTTCTGGTGTGTTCGTCACTTACCTTAAACTTTCCCCCAATAACCAGGATTTAAATGAGCCAAGGCTGTCAAAGTAAATGGATAGATTCACAGAGAGAGACCACAGACACAGAAGAGAAAATGAGAAGAAAAAGAAGAAAGAGGGGGAGGAGGAGGAAGACAAAAGAAAAGCGATTTCCCAGAGCCCCGTTTCAATACAAAGACACTTCAAAAGTCCTTATTAAACAATGTCCCGGACCTGTGTGATTTTTGAAAATCCAGCTGAAGCTAGGAAATTAGCCTCTTGCATAGTATATGAGCCGAGTAGCTGTCATGGTCTATGTAAACCTCAGCCCTTACGATGCCCAAATGTATTGAACTGCATTAGGGACATTGTCAGGATTCACGCTACGTATGCTTTGAGTCTGTGTTGCATTTTCATTTCTTAATAAAAAGCCATATTTTCCCAATACGATCTAAGTGGGAGGTTGGCGCTCCAGGCACGAAGCCAACTTGATTTTTAAAACTCTCTTTATTTTTAAATTATTTTAGATTTACAGAAGAGTTGCAAAGCTAATACGAACAGTTCCCAAATACCCTTCACCCAGCTTCCCCTAAAGTGAACCTCTTATAATATGGTACATTTGTCAAAATTAAGAACTTAACATTGGTTCAGTTCCATGAACTGAACTGACGTCAAGATTCCTCACAGCGCCAGTATTCAATACCACGTGGTACTGAGTCACAACAGACAAATACGTCGGTGAAACAGAACAGAACGAGGGAGGAATGGCGCTGCCATGGAGCCCTGTGAGCTGGCATGTATCCACACGGGCCATGCAAACAGAGGCTTGAACCACTGCTGATCTGTGTCCTGGCAGAAAACCCATGATCCTCCTGGGCGGGAGGCTGGCAAGGAGCTGCTCAGGGGCCGAAGGCCACTCGCCTCCCTGTATCTCCTGGGAGGCATTCAGGAGACAGTTTCTCATCGCCTCCTGGGTTCTCATGAGGTTTGAGACTTCCTGCCTTGCCCCGCTCAGAATACAGCTGCAGACTATAAAACCGCTCAGCTGAAGTCTAGATTTGGCTGCTTAGCAACGGGGTCACTACGACTCATATTGTCACCAACTGGTCCCTTTTGTTTAGGTGTGGTCCTTTGTGGTGTGTGGGGCAGGGACCGTGAGGAATTGGCACCTTTGGCTATTCTCCTCTTCACTGTTTATGGAGGAGATAAATGGTCTGAATCAAACTCGGGACTTTATCTGTTGAATCGGTCAGACCTTGCCCTGTCTTGTGTGTACTTGACAAGAGTCTAGAAATAAACCCACACATACGTAGTCAGTTGATTTCCAACAAAGGTGCAAAGTCAATTTAGTGGAGAAAGGAAAGGCTTTTTGACAAATGGTGCTGGAACAATTGGATATCCACATGCAGAAAAACAAAAAACAAACCAAACTTCAATCCATCAATCTATACCTCACACCATATTCAGAAATTAACTCAAATTGGCTCATAGACTTAAATATAAAATTATTAAATTTACTGAGGAAAACATAGAAGGAAATCTTTGTGGCCATGCATTAGGCAAAGGTTTTTCTAGATAAGATAGCCCTACACAAATCCTAAAAGAAAAAAATTGATAAGCTGGATCCCACCAACATTAAAAACTTCTGTTCTTTAAAAGACACTTTTAACAGAAGAAAATAGAATCCAGAGATGGACAGGCCATATTTATAAATTGCATGCCTGACAGGGGACTTGCATCCAGGGAATGTGAAGAAATCTCAACATTTAAGAATAAAACAACCCACTTTTTAAAATGGGTACAAGAGCCCTGGCCAGTGTTCTCAGTTGTTAGAACACCAGCCCGAGCATGGAAGGGTCACGGGTTTGACTCCTGGTCAAGGGCACATAACTGGGTTGCAGGTTTGATCCCAACCCCAGTGGGGGCACCTGCAGGAGGCAATCACTTGATATGTCTCTCTCACATCAGTGCTTCTCTCTCTCTCTCCCCCACCCCCCTTCCCTCCCTTTCACTCTCTCTAAAAATCAATGGAAAAAATATCCTTGGGTAAGAGTAAAAATAAATAAATAAACAAATAAATAAAACGGGCACAATATTTGAAAAGGCACGTGGTCACCAAAGAAGACATGGGTGGCAAATAAGCACATGTAAAGATGCTGAGCATCAGTTGTCATTAGGGGAATGCTGGTCACAACCACACACCGATGGAGTGCCTACAATGAAAGCGCGACCCTACCAAGTACTGCGAGGGTGTGAAGCAACTAGACCGCATACATCGCTGGTGGGTCTGCACAATGGCACGGCCACTTTGGAAACCAGTCTGGCAGGTTTACAAAAGGTTATCTTTCAATCACATCATAGGACCCCGGCGTTCTAAGCCTAGGTACTTCCCCAGGAAAAATGAAAGCATATACCCGTACAAAGCCTGGCACGCAGATGGTCATAGCAGCTTTATTCGTAACAGCCTGAAGCTGGAAACAATTCCGTGCCTTTCAACACACGAACGGAGAAACACAACATGGAATACCACTCAGCAACGACGACGAGTGAGTTATGGACACACACAACAATATGATGAATCTCAAAGTAACTATGATGAGTGAACGAAGCCAGACAAAAAAGAGTACATTCCACTTATATAGAATTCCAGCAAATTCAGACTGAACTACGGTGACAAAAAGCAGATCAGGGGGATAATGGAGGAGGGGGGTGGGGACATAATAATGGGGCCGGGGAACCTTTTGACCGGGATGGGTGTGGTCAGTCTTGATAATAGGGATGGTTTCATGAACACACAGACGTCTGTCTAAATTTATCAGATTGTACACTTCAAACACAGGCAGCTTATTGTATGCAGTTACACCTCCGTAAAGCAGGTCCTGAAAAGTACATTGGAAGAACGCTGCTTCCTTCAGCCACGCTCCAGGCCCCTGGTGGCCTGCTGCCTTGCTGAGCCCCCCCTCTGAACTCAGGTGACATGAGCAGGTGGGGCGCCACCTTGGTGACCCAGAGCCCAGTGGTAGTGCCTGCTGCACTTCATATGGTGATTTTACTTAATCCTCACCACAGAGACAGAGGCCAAGAAATGACAACCCCCAGGGCAGGGGCTGGAACATTGTGACTAAAAGAAATGTCAAGATGACGCACTGCAAGCCGAGAAACCGAACATGAATCCTGTGCAATGACATGGTGGCTCACAGCTTCTCCCGGGCCTACCGGACCCCGCGGGCACAGACTCTGCAAGGACAAACGCGGGCTTGGACGCGGCAGCTGTAGAACCTCCCGAACCCCAACACCTGGGCGGGCGGTGGGCTGGGACCGCTGCTCCCCGAAAAATGCCAGGCCCAGCTCGGCTTCCTAGAGGAACTGCGGAGCCCCGCCCGAGGAGCTAGCCATTTATGTCACACTGTGACAATTATTCTGCATAAAATTATCATTAAAAACTCTAATTTTTCAGCTCCCAACCCCGCCAGTGGCCTTTTAGCATTCTTCAGCACTGCGTCTGAGGGCCGTGATCACCCCGCTCATTACTCGGTGTGGCGCCTCCCCCCTCGGGCTCGCAATCAAGGCTAATTACACCCGCGCGCGGGGGCAGGGCCGAGCGCGGTCCAGGGGCCGGGAGTGGGGGCGGGGTCGGAGTCCCGAGTCCGGGAGTCCGGGTCCGGGGTGGGGCCTGGGGTGGAGCGGGCGGTGTGGCCGCTGTGGGTTCTGATGGTCAGCGAGGGCCCGCGCCGGCCAAGGCTGGGTTCGGGGCTTGGGTGAGGTCAGGGCGCGGGAGGTGTCGGGG